GCCTCAAACCCAGAGATCTGCCTTCCTCTACTTCCCAAGTGCTAGAAATAATGGTGTATGCCATCACTGCTTGAAGAAATGCTATCTTTAACAAATTCTTAGTTTTCAAAAGTACTGCAACCTATCTCCTTATTCACTTGTGAATCCTCAAATCACCCCCTGATGTCCTGGACTACAAGGCTACAGCTTGCTTGTGAAACTCATCTATACTCTGTTCTTTGGAGACCATTCTGGGGCCACACAGGACTTCCTCCATCTGGATGCTTCAAGTTCATTCCTGGGTGGTTTCACACTAACTTCTGCATACACTGTTGCCTATGCTGGATGTTTGGTCTCTCTGCCATGCTTTAAAAATGTTTTATTACCATCTATTAGCTATATATAACAATGGGTTTCATTATGACACTTTCATACATGTACATACTGTATTTTGGTCATACTGGTACTGCCCCTTGTGCCTGTCCATCTTCCACTTCCTCTTCCTCTTAGCTCTTGTCTACTTTCTCTCTTTGTTCTAGGTAGGGTTATTAGGGTTATTTACAGAACTGTGGCTACAAACACATTAAAGAAGACATGTGCATCATTTTTCTAACATATTTTTTGCTATTTTTCCTTCTTGGTTGTATGTCTAATGATTTTCAAGAACTCTCTGTGTTAAAAACCCTTCTATTTATGTATTCCATGTATTTTTCTTTATTTTGATCTTATTATAACTTTAAAACTTATTCCTTTTTCCACTTTATTGGAACATAGTGAAAAGAATGACCCATGGTGAACAATACTTTGGGGAACTGTAAGAGAGACTCCAAGAAAAAAGACAGAGGGCCTTTTACCACGGGTGCATTTTGTTCTCTAGATTGTTCTTGGATGTGATTTCATGCCTCCTGTGACAAACATTTACATTCAGTTTATAAGATATGTTTATTCTTGTTGGATGTCACAATATAGCTATAGAACCCAATCTGATAAAAGGATGTGTGAGTGCCGTCCTTGGTGTGCCCTGGATCTGGATATGGCCTCTGCCTTGCTTTCGTGCTTTCCCAGATATAAATCTATAATATGTGCCAAGCAAAGAAAGTTCTGGGAAATGACTGCTCTGTCAATATTTAGTAGGTGCCTACTAACATTTATTTACATGTGTTTCTGAACTCAAACAACCTTCCTTGGATCACTGCTTTCTTTGTTACATTCGTACATACAAGTGCACTGAAACTGAAGTAAGGTTGTCTATAGCGTGAGACCATAGACTGCCCCATTCTCTCAGGTCCTCAGATCACAGGTCCAGCAGACAAGACTTGGCAGCAAGAACCTGTTGAGCTGTTCTTGCCAGACCATAATAAAGATGAATATTCATAGACAAGTACATGAAAATTTTTTTTCAGTGTTTAGGGTTTTATTTTTTTTGAGCAATTCTTAGAAAGATTTCTCCATTCTAAGACATCCCTCTCTCCCCATGTGTGTATGTATACTCTTTCTATATATATATATACACATTGCATATATCTCTCTCACACATTTTTTATGATTTAAATTTTCACGGTGAAACCAATGTAGAATATATTTTGCTATAAGAAGTGAGATGGGGAACCCAGCCTTCTACTTTGGCTCTCCCTTTCCCAAAGCAGAGCGTCCATCCTTCTGAAACCATTGCTGGCAGCTCTGTCTTTGCCTTATGGTTTGTTTCCTTCCTTTGCTGGTCATCAATCCAGGACTGTGTGCAGACCAGGGAAGTGGTCTACACCAAGCTACATCCTCAGCTATGCCTAACTTGAAACACCACCTTTATCACATATTCAATTCGCATATCCACTTATACATATTTATGGGCTCAACTTTTTCCTTTGATGTACCTATTTTTACATTGGAACTGCTTCATTTACTAAACAGAAAATGTTCTCCTACTTGATTAGGCCACTCTTTTACACTGTCTGGCCATTTGGGTATGCTTTTCTTTTTAAAATAACTTTCACTGTAGCAAAGAAAGGCAAAGGTAGCTTGAAACATAGATGTGTTCTGCACTTCTTAGTCCACCCTGAAATTGCCCACAACCCCTCTCCTAGAATAGTCCATTCTATTGTATCTTGAATTTCAGCAATTGGGGGAGGGGAGGTGTCATCACATGTTTCTAACTTTTGATAAATATGGTGTCAACATACTCTATTTTTTTAATAAAACAGCCTTTTACATTTTAAGTACTTATATTAAGCTGACACTACACAGCTACGTACAAGCATGGATTAGATATAGCATTTGTGTTTCCCCAGCATACTGAATGGTATAGATTAGCAATGAAAGAAATACTATCCATGCGTTTATCCAGTTTGTGTGCTACCAGCACCTTGAGAAAACTGGTCAGTACCAACTGCTCTCATCAGCTCGACAGATGGAACCCTCCATTTAGAAGGTACCACGGGACTGTTGGTGACTCTTGTACCTCAAGGTTTCACAGGTGGGCTCAGTCTGTGAGAATTAAGACATTCACATACAGGATACATGTACCTTTGTGTGCAACTGTGATCCAATGTAACATTCAAAAACCTTTACAAGTTTAAAAGGAATGGATGTTTCTGTACTGTTTTGAGATTGCTGATAAAGGATCAGTCACATGTACCCTAAAAGCAATCACACAGGCTTGGGTGGCACTGAGGGCAGGCTAAGCAAAATCAAGGTCCTGGCCAACCCCTGAGCTTGGGCCATCTGAAGAACAAGCCTGAGTGTAGGACAGGAATATTAGATTCTGCTCCAAGTTCTCATCTTCAGGATTTGATGTTTCTGGAACAAAGTGGCCCTCATAAAGGCTCTGTAGATCTGGAAAATGTCACTGATAACATTGTAAGTCCTCTTCCAATGTTCATGAGATGATAAGATGTTGTGACTGTACTCTCAGTGCTGAAACAGGTAATACTGCCAAAGGCCTGAACTGAAGTATCCTTATCTCTGAGTTTTTATTAAAGGTTCACAGAGATAAATGGAAAATGCCACCCTATCTCCACAGAGATCAAATTAAGAGGCAGGATCACAGAGAATCAAATATCTTGTACTGGCCTGTCACAAACACTTACTCCAATTTAAGTAAACACATGCCATACTCTGTGCTGCCTAGGCAACCCTGGCTTTCATTTCCCATACCCTAACCTGGCAGGCTTCCTTTTGCTGAACATCTTCAGTACTGATGCCCGTGAAGCTTACACATTCATTCTTTTATACTAAAATCTCTTTTCAAAATAGAATCCACTATTCCCAAGATGAAGAGTCAAATAGTTTTTTTTGTTTGTTTGTTTTGTTCTTTTAAAAACAAGCAGAGAAAGCCGGGTGTGGTGGCGCACGCCTTTAATCCCAGCGCTTGGGAGGCAGAGGCAGGAGGATTTCTGAGTTCGAGGGTAGCCTGGTCTACAGAGTGAGTTCCAGGACAGCCAGGGCTATACAGAGAAACCCTGTCTCAAACACCCCCCCCCCCCCCAAAAAAAAAAAACCAAGCAGAGAATAACCCAGATTCCTTCTGTTGATAGCCATGGAAATGAACTGTAAGTATTTCTGTGACTGGATAATTTTCAGTGACACTCTTCAAGGGTTAAAATAATAAAACCTGGAAGCTTCTCACTTAACCTGCAGGTTTGTGTTTGAAACTGCACCAGCCTCGTGATTATTGGGTGAACAGCAGAGAGGGGAGAAAACTGGAGCCCCATTTGTGAGGATCTCTCAAGGTCCTATTCACATTTGATTTCCTGCCACGTGAGACCCCTTCTGCAGGTGCTTTGACCTTTCTATGTGGGATCTCTTACCTGTGACTTTCCCTGTACCAGAAGCCTGCACACACCCCTGCTACTTTTTAGGCTTCTTTCCATTCAAGAATGGTCCACCAACTCTTAGTGTGCACTTGCCGGCTGCCCCATTTGCATAATCCCCTTTCTGAAAAGTTTGGAGTCTTATGCCAATTAAACTTCACTCTGCTTCTCAAAATTTAACTGCACAATGTTGCCAGCTTTTGCTATTCCTCCAAACAAGAGAAATAAGCCTTTCTCCTGATGTAATTTGCTTGAAGAACTCTATAAGGCTTCCAATTACTGTTTCGAGTTCCTGGTGCCAGTTGACGTAATTCTCAAACTGAGGTACAGGATACAACCTGCAGGGTAGAGCATCTGTCAGTGCAAGCCTGAACTAGCTATTTAAAGAGCTCCCTGTCAGGCTAAGCACCTGCCTGGAGGGCAGGCACAGGTGACAGCAAAGCCCTGCTCCAGGCAAACATTGGCACTGAGCTCAGGGTACTGGGGGCAAGAGGAGGGTGGGGATGAGGGGCAACCCCTCAGAGGGTGCTGGCAATGAACAGAGGGCAAAGGTAACAAGGACAGAGAAAAGCTGTCTGGGCAAGGGACTCCTTATTCCCACTAAGAACACATCAGAACGGTCACACGGTGGCACCCTTATACATTAGTCTTGTGCCCCCACATCCTGAGTGGATGGTTCGGCACCATCTCCTCCCCTTCCATGCTGCCATCTAGTTAAGCCCATTGGGTGTAAATTTTAGCTTTGTAGATGGAATTCTGGCTTTGGAGAGGAGCCAAAGGTATGATGAAGATGTGACACACTGTTGGAAGTGTATTTAAATCTTTACATTGCTTTAGGCCAATCAACTGGTTCTCACCTATAACTGGGTAAAATTGTTACTTTTGATTCAGCACAGAAATGTATATCCTCAAAACACTCATCTCCCAGAATCCTATTCTCTGAGGCTTGTTCTCCCAGGAATAGACTGAGTCAAGGATGCAGATATAAAAAGTTTATTAAGAAAAGGCCCTAGAGCTGGGTGGTGGTAGCGCACGCCTTTAATCCCAGCACTTGGGACGCAGAGGCAGGCGGATTTCTGAGTTCGAGAGTTCGAGGCTAGCCTGATCTACAGAGTGAGTTCCAGGACAGCCAGGGCTACACAGAGAAACCCTGTCTTGAAAAACCAAAAAAAGAAGAAAAGAAAAGAAAAGAAAAGAAAAGAAAAGAAAAGAGAAGAGAAGAGAAGAAAAGAAAAGAAAAGGCCCTAGAGACATCAGTAGGTGAGTGGGGGAAGGGATGAAGCCAAGCAGGGTAGTGATTTCCTGCCAAAGTCCCAGCTCTGGCCAGGTCCCCAAGAGAGCACTCAGGAGTGCAGACTAAGACAAGAAGCTGGGCTACGACTCAACCCTAGTTGAGTCAGTAGCAGCCTTGGCCAAGGTGAGCAGGAGGTAGCACACTAAGAGGTTGCTGATGCTAGCCTCTACCTGCAAAGCTTATGGCTAATGGCTGGAAACAGAAAGATGCCAAAGGAACTCCCTTCCCACCTCCCCTTGGACTCTGGGGACCAGGCGACAGCACTTCCTCTCCAGCATTGCCTGCTTTCACATCAACACTGGCTACAAGTCTTTCATTACAGTCTGCTCCAAGAGAAAATGAATGACCTCTCTTGACAGTCCTGGGGTGGGCTCTTCATCATCCACAGAGCTGCCTTCTTGCTCTAGTGGGTAGAATCGGGTGTCCCTGGAATGCCGCTGTAAGATAGAGCAGCCATCCCGGTTGAAGATGACCCGGGCCATCTGGAAACTGCGGAGGGCATACTTTTGGCTCTCCTGGCCCTCAAGCTCAGAGATTGTCTGAGACAGGGACTGACACACAGGTGCAGAGAGCAGATCCCCAGAACCTGGCAATGGATGGGCAAATGCTTCATAGAATCTATCCAGGGATTTTCGAAGTCCATCCTCCTCTTCATTAGTCTCCAACTGGCCTTTCGAAGAAGGATCAAGCCAGAAGTTCTCAGAGTCCCAGGAGCCTTTTTTCTCAGTATTTAGAGAACTGCTATCTGTAAGACAAAACACATTCCTATACTCAACACAGGCAGTCAAAAGTATCGGAAAGTCAGCTAGTGAGGTGACTCAGTGGGTAAAGGTGTTTACTACACAAACCTAATATCCTGAGGTGGATTCCATAAGCAAAGACAAGGTGGAAGGAGAGATCTGACTCCTGCAAGCTGTCCTCTGACCCACATGCACACACAGCATGTACTCCCTACAACGCCACGCACACATGCAAATAAAATTTTAAGTCCAGAAATCAAGCCAACAGTACAAATGCCTCTCTTCACCTCAATACACTTACTACTCCTAAGACACTGACTATAAGCAGAATCAACTGATTTCAGAAGCATTTCCCGTTGTCCTTGGGCTATGCCACATGCTTGCCTCATAGTGAGTTCAAAGTCAGCCTAGAATATGAGAAATCCTGTCCTAGAAAAATCAAAACAACAAAAATTTAAACCAACAACTCCTCCCAGCATGAATAATTCACAACAAAAAGTTCTTTGTATTGTATTTGGAGGCATTGAACTTGAGACTGACCAAAAAAAAAAAAAAAAGTTTTAAAGCAAAACTCTAGAGAGAACTGCTAACACTTCCTACTTTAAATAGCCAACCACATAAAAGCCCAGATATTAGCAAGTAAATATCTTGTAAATGGTGTTACTATTAAAACCCAGAGAAGGGGGAGACAGGAGCCCACAGTGGTAGAATGAGGTGTCCTTGTTGCTGTCCCCTACAGATAATCTAGCCCCTCACTGGGAAGGCAGGGAGATGCAGAGACCTGTTGGTGGGAAGGAGCAAGGGGATTCCCAGAAGACACCGGGTAGCTGAGAAATTCCTAACACCTCCCACCAGAGGTTTCACACCCAAGAGGAGCATGGAATGTCCTCTCCATTACTGCCAACACACCCAGACATACAGGGTTCCCCTTTTCGTGTGCACATCATTTTATTATTAGTTATGTGCATGGGTGTTTTGTTTGCATGTACTGTCTGTGTACCTGGATGTTCTGGGAGCTTGATGAGGTCAGAAGAGGGAATTGGATGCCCTGAGTCTGGAATTACAGAGAGTTATGAACCAGCGGGTTCTACTACCAGGCAATAGACAATTCAAACTTTCCACTTCTTACCAGATTCGACCATTCACTGGGCCACAGCCCTCATGATCTAAGTGTCTCTGGAAATGCTCTCACAGACACAGCCAGAAGTGTCTCTTAGTAAAGAGGTGTGCTTTATTACTGTGAGGGTCTGAATGGTCCTCCACAGGCTCATGTTTAAACACTTGATCCCCACTTGCTAGCACTGTTTGGGGAGATTATGGAACTTTTAGGGAGTACAGCCTTGCTGGAAGATAGTATGAGAATTATCATTTTTTAATCAAAGGTAGTTAGCCTGGCAAGCAAGTTTACTGAGCCAGAACCTTCCCCCTCTGTGTATCTATTAGCCAATCACAACAGATTGTAAAGTCAAGCTCCTGCCAATGGGGTGAGGGGCATTCTCCACCTATGTTTCCAGTGTCTCTGTGACCACCACACCCAGCCTAGTAACTGTCTGTGGGAAGCAAGAAGGCAGCTCTGTTCAATACAACTCAGTAGCTGGTGTTGGTTCAAACTTCAAGAGTCTGACTGCAACCAGTTTGTTTCAGGCATATTTAGGCACAGCATGATTTGGAAAAAAGTTTCCTGATGTTAACTAACTCAGTTCCATGTGCACAACAAAGTTTAAGATGAGACTACATCCAAAGTCTTTGTAAAGGACAAGTGATATTGTCCGTAAAGATCAGTTCAGTAAAATGAGAAAATAGGCTCAAGATAAGTGTCTGGGGAGGATCCAGTGTAACTGCAGGGTCACACAGATGGCACAATGGACACCAGGCTGCAAACCAGACCCGCTCCCAGTCTTTTGCACAGAAAATGGGTTGCATATCTTTCCTTTTGAAGAGACAACCCTATGTTTTTAACATTCCTGGTTCCCTTAGTGCTTATCTGTGAGCGCAAGGACCTACATAACTCCTGTACTATGTCAGGGATAAAGGAGGAGCCACGCTGCCCCAGCGTGTTGCTAGGTTTGGGTACCATTTTTCAACCTGAATCATCTTACAGATACTTTCACTTTGTATGACTCTTTGTGCAGCATGCAGATTGTTCATTCTTTTTTTCTAACAATGGGCTTTGAGTTAATAGTCTCTCCCCACTTCCGGCTCACTCTCTTAGCCTCCTGCGTAGCTACTCTTCCTGCTGCCATGTGTCCCACCACAATGGATTCATGCTCTCTGGAACTAAATGCTCTGGTCTATAAGTTGCTTTTGGTCAATGGTGTTTTATCACAGCAACCAAAAAGTACAGATGCAAGTGCTCTCCTCCCTAAGCTTCTTCTAGGTATCAAGATTTACTCTTCTAGAACACAACAAGATCTCTTTACATGCATGCGTGCATGCTTGGTTCCTACACCAGCTTTTCTATGTCTCTTTTCAGACACAACCTTCTCAGAGAGTTTTCAGTATCACTGAAACCCATTCTAGCTAGAACGGGCTATGTTTTGCAACATAACAAGTATTACTGGACTCAGGGATCACAGCCTGCACTCTAACAATCCATGCCTAGTCACTCATCCTCAATAAGCCAGTAAAAGGAGCCAAATTAATAATGAAAAGCAGAAAAGAGGTCAGTGTGGCTACCCCACCCTCAAGTCTACCTCTGTGGCCCTGACAAGGGGGGTAGGGTTTAAATAAAATCAAGTAGTACGCATAACTGAGAAGTCGGTCCCTGCTATAGTCCTGCCCACCACTGCCTATGCTCTGAGCTGTATACAAGGTCAGTCTTGTTAATTTCTTCAGGAGACAAGTTACTCTTCTGGATGATCCCCCAGATGTCAGCCATTTCTCAGCAGGAGATTCCTAGGTAAGTTTCTGGGAGTTCATTCTTTCAACAGTCAGATAGGGAAAGAAGGGGTTACAAGTATCTCTCTAAAATATATTGATTCCTGCTAGATAGGCTGTCACATAAGCAAGCACCAAAGTTCAGGGGTGTAAAACAGCAAACCGTCAGGTCTGTGGGATGTGTCACATGAGGAGTATACACACATACAAGCAGATCTGCTTATCCAACCCTTACCCCAGAACCCAGGCTGACAGACCAGTTACCTCACTATAATTGGCTATGATGCCGGTAAGAGCATGATGAAGCACTATATCCAGGAAGACTGTTACTTTGGTTTGTATTTCATTGACCAAGCTTGATTTCAAACGGACACGTGGGAAATCATTGTGTGGGGTCAGGCAGAGAATACTGGTGAACAGTGATTCAGCAGACACCTTCCCACAGCATATTATTTAAAATCGTACTTCTCAATTTAACAAGAGCCAAAATGAATGCAAAAATGTCAACTGTCAGGAACACTGACCACTGAGGAACCAAGGAGGCACCTAGTGTACAACTTAGTTTGATTTGCAGAGGCTTGAGCCCAAACTAATGCTTTGTAAAAGCCCAGTACCAACCAAGAGCTGCTTACAGCTTTTATAGGTTGGACAAGTGTTGAAACTCTAGGGGACCATCTGAAGGTAGAAATTCCCATCACCATTTAGATATGATTGCAGGAACAAATATTGTAGGAAACAGATCAAACATCCGTTCTTAGCAAACAGGATCTGTGGGTTGACCAGGTAGATAGCTGTAGTAATCATTTCTCAGGCAGTCTCTTGCAAGCATTTTGTTTTAGTTATTATTCTATTACTGTGAAAAGACACCATGACCAAGGCAACTCTTAAAGCATTTATTTTTTTTTAAGCAGAATTTTTTATTTATTTATTTATTTTTTTTAAATTTCTTTTTTTTTTTTTTGAACATGAAATGCTTTTTTTTTTTAGCATGTTTTACAAGGGGAGGGGGTAAGAAGGGCAAGGTGGTGGAAAAGTACAAAATCTTCTTGGCCTGTGCCTTGAAACATGTCATGGTCTATACGGTACACTGCCTTGAATTATGATCTACCTGCTGTTCTTCAGAAGATATGGTACACTGCTTGAGTTATGGTCTCCCTGCTATTCTTAAGAAGACATGGTACTCTGCTTTGAGTCTATCTGCAGTTGCTAAGCAGGATCTTGCAGTTGCCAAGCTTCAGAGGACATTGTGCAGGTGGGGAAAGGTAGGGGGTGAGGACATTGGGGAGCCTTCCTTTATGACAATATTACACCCCAAACTGACAAATGGTTGGTAACTTGAACATTTACAAGAGACTAGGATGGCTGTGAGTTAGCCCAATGACGGGATTATTGTAGGTCCACCTCCCAGGGGCCCACCCAATGCAGCCGAAAAGGAGTGCGTGGTGCTGGGAGTGGGTGCAGCCTACATGGCCTAAGACAGGGCTCTCACCCTCCTTTCACCCACATCAGAGTCCCTTGACGTTGCCCATCGTCGACAGCCTAAAGCCTTCGACCATCAATGTGACTCGTCTCACATCAATGTTTTGGGGTTGTGAACTTGTCTAAGACCCCCCATAATTAGACATCCAAATTCAAAATTCACATAGTTGGGATTGATCATAAGACGCCTTCTCTAACTAAACAGAGAAGGGGGAGATGCCAGAAGCCAGGACCCTTGCCCTTACCCTCTTAAAGCATTTAATTGGGAGTTTGCTTACAGTTTTAGAGAGTTAGTCCATAACCATCACGGCACAGGACAGACAGACATGGTGCTGGAGCAGTAGATGAGAGCTTTACATCCTCATCCACAGGAAGCAGGCACAGAAAAAGGACACTGGGCCTGGCATGGACTTTTGAAACCTCAAAGTCCATTCATTCCCTCTCTTCCCCTCAAGATATACTTCCTCCCAGAAGGCCACACCTTCTCCAACAAGGCCACACCTCTTAATCCTTCCCAAACAGTTCACCCAACTGGGGACCGAGAATTTAAATGTATGTGCCTGTGGGGGCTATTCTCATTTAATCCACCATACATTTACCTTCCCAAGTAAATAAGAGGTAGGGGCTTTAGAAAGCTAGCAGAACTCAG